AGTGCCGCCCTGGACACCCTCAGCGTGTGGCTCCTCGGAAAAGCGGTGGTTGCATTCGCTCAAAATGTGACGGCGATTGATTTCTTGTCAGTGCTGCAGGAGGTGACCCTCTTCCTCCGCGCTTCCCTGGACATCCTCAATATACGGCTCTTCGGGATCGCATTGGTTTTGTGGTCTCAGAGATGGGTCCCGAGCTTTCTTGTCAGTGCTAACGGCAGCGACTTTCAGCAGTGGATGGAACGGTGCGTTCCTTACACTGCGGACACGTTGCGATATGGCGGCTTCAAAGATATTCTGCAATGCCCAGCCAACACGATGTCGGACGGGGCGAAGCGCTGGGAGCTTGCAATTGATACTTGCTTGCATGGGTGGTATCAAGGCGCTATACCGAGGGGGCGTTTCCGTCAACAACTCAGTGACCCGTGGCCGCCCAATGAACGGCGCCGCTTGGCAGCTCTACGGCGCCAGGGATTGGCGCACCTGCGGCAGTTGGATTGGCGCCCTGATGTTACGAGAGTGCCACCTGAAGAGCGTGAGAATTTTCAGCTAATTCGCCGCACGTTCTTTCCTGGCCCTGCAAAGGCTGCGGCCCCTGATTTGCTCCTGCTTCCACACCTTCATGAGTAAGCCCTCCTGGATGCTGCGTCAGCAGCGGCCTCTGCCCATCTGCCTGACGAAGACAACGAAAGTATTGATGCGGACGGCTATCCCAACCCAACCGACGAGGACATAGAGAGTATGGTCGAGGCTGCCAATGCCACGGCGGCGCCTGTACTTGGTGGATCCCCGCCGCACGAGTACGAGAATGAGTATATGGATCCTGGTGAGTTCTCTCATCACTTCGGCCCCATCCTCACCGACGAAGAGTTTGAAGCGCAAGTACAGCTGATCTTGCGCAGGTCTCGTGAGTCCTTCAGGCGTGATCAAGGCGGTGATGCGGCGGCCTCTTCGTCAGCTCCGCCTGCGGCTTCGGCGGCTTCTCTCCCAACTCGGACTTCGCCGTCGCGCCCTTCTTCGCCAGTGGCTGCCGACGCCAGCTCTGACGAGGAGTCCAATCTGGCGGCCTCTTCGCCGGCACCTCTTGCGGCTTCGGCGTCGTCTCCCCCTGATTGGGCTTCGCCTGCGCGCCCTTCCTCGCCAGTGGCTGCCAATGATAGCTCAGATGATGATTTCAATTAAACGAAGGCTACCTATGGGTTTGGCGTTATCTACCCAGACGGCTCCCTCGTGGGGGCGCTTCGGCCTTCTGCTATTTCGCCTTCACCTGCGGCTGCTTCAACACCGCCGCCACACATGCCTGAAGAAGGATCTGGTGTTCCCTTTCATTGTGACAGCGATGAGGAACGTCAAGCTATGCTACAACTGCGGGCGCTCCAAAATATCAGTGCTCTAGTACGGTCTGCGATCACAGTGGCGCATGGGGCTCTTCTCCTGCGGCGGTACATGGAGAGGCTCTTTCGCAGGCTCAGATTGCGGTAGCTACTCGGTATCTGGATGAAAATTACAATCTTTCTGCAGAGCAGCGCGAGCTTGTGATCTGGATGTTGCACAACCATGGCTCTCGATTTTATGGCGACGCTGTGGACGCTCCCGCTGCTCATGTACTCGATGCCGAGGCCACGTCCCTCGACGACGGAGCGGTGGGCGTGGACCAGGCCGAAGCTGAAAGCGTGGAAGTGCCTGGCGTGGACGCTTGCAGCATGCACGACGTCGAGGATGAAGTTGGAGAGGCTGATGAAGATCAAGATGCCTTCAATCTACTGATGGCTGCGCAGTTCACCGCCGACACTGAGGAGGTGGAGCCTTCGGCTGGTTCGGCGGCTGCGTCCCTGCCAGGCGGTGTACTTCCTGCGGGTCAAGGGCAACAAGGTTCGCCGCCTGTGCCTGCTCCAGTCCGCCCTGTACCTGATTCTGCTGGTGATCCACCAACTGGTGAAGATCATCTGGACGGCGAGACCGTCGCTGCCGCCCTGGACGAGGACGGCGGCTTCAACGTCACTGAGCTGGCCGTCGGCACGCGCGCCGGCGCTGGGGGCTAGGCGCGGGCGGCTGACAGACCGCGCCCCCCTCCGAGGCGTGGGCTCCTCCTCCTCACCCACCTCCTCTTCCTCCTCCTTCTCCTCCTCCTGCTCCTCCTCACCGCGTCGAGTTTAGTTTCCCTTGCGGCGCGACGTGTCGATCGGGACGTTTCCGGAGATTTTGAGGAGTCCTGGGGCAGCCCCGGGGAGAGCCCGATGGTGCGCTCGCCGCCCGCGGGCCTGGACAGGAACGCCTCGAGCAGCGTAGCGGCGCGCAGCATGGCGTCGTGCGTGGCGCTCGGGCGCCGGCCGGCTGCGGCGCGCTGACGTGGCGCAGCACGGCGTCCCAGCGCCTCGGAGCCGCCGCTGCGCATCACCCGCAACAAGCACGCAGCGGCGCGGGGCACGAGGATGAGGAGGAGAAACGAAGACGAGGACGAGGAGGGGCGCGAGGAGGGCCCCAGGCCACACGGCGAGAGCGACCGCTCGCCGCCCCTCCTCGTCCTCGTTTCTTCGTTTCCTCGTTTCCTCCCCTCGTCCTCTTCCTGCTGAGTAGTCTCGGCGATACTCCCGACTGCGTTCGCGCCGCTGGCGCTCGGGGGGGGTACCGCTGGCGCCGGCGCGGCTGGCAGGCTGCATGTCCCAGGCTCTCCCAGCCTTTGCAGTCTCCCGCTGCATGACCTGCAGGCGCCTGCTCCGCCTGCTCTCTCACTGAGCTGGGTGTCTCTGCATGTGCGCTCGCCCAGCGCAGCCACACACCCTAATTTGACAGTTGCACGCGGCTGCCCTGTTCCACCCCACCAGCCTGCGACGCCAGGCGGAATTCGACTAAGCGTTCCCCCGGCCTGGTGCTCGCGACGGTGCCGCCACCTCGCCGTTGGAGGGGAAGTGTGCGTGTTCGTACAAGGAGGAGGAGGAGGAGGAGGAGGAGGAGGAGGAGGAGGAGGAGGAGGAGGAGGAGGAGAAGGAGGAGGAGGAGGAGGAGGAAGAGGGCGTGCGCCTGTGCGTGTAGGGAGGACGGAGCGTGACAGTACGTGTGAGCGAGTGCACGTGATTGCTTGTATACATGTGTGAGGTTGTGAGTGTGTGTGTGTGTGCATATGAGAGCGCGCGGAGGGAGAACGGAGAACAGTGTGTGGGTGTGAGAGAGAGGCGTGTGTGTGTGTGTCCGTGCGTGAGCGTATGACAGTGTTCTGGGAGTGTGTGTGCGTGTGTGTGTGTGTGTGTGTGCAAGGTGCAAGGGGATGCAAGGAAGATGAGCGTGTGTGTGTGTGGATGACAACGAGGAACCACACGTTTCGGGCGATTCTGACTAGAGGGCCATGTGTGGCACACTCGCCGCTGCCGCGGTTGCCTTGCCGAGATGTGTCCCTGACCCGCCGGGCAACACCGGTTGGCAGCGCGCTTGGACGAGGGCAGGCGAGGGTCTTGACGCACTCTGACGAGGATTGGCACTGGCGGTCCTACCATGGCTCTCTCGCCGTCGCATCGGGAGCCTTGCCGACAGGCGGTCCTGACGGGCAGTGCGACGGTGATCCGCGCGCTTTGAGGATGACAGGAGCGGGCGGTCCCGACTCCGCATGAGGACAGGTCGCGCTCCAGGACTAGGGCAGGAGTGTGCGGACCCGACCACCGCGCCGCGAGGAACTGGCCCTCATGCAGGCACCGTGGAGCCACTGCCAGGACGAAGACAGGAACGGGCGGCCCTTCCTGACCAACGTTTCACCTTCGGGCGTCTGGTCATGGGGCCGTCCAGGCGACCTCTGTGCAACTTGAGTCAGGATGGCAGCGAAGCAGCAGAGGAGGCGGTGGACCAGGACGTGAAAGGCGGAGGGGGAGGGCGGATGAGAAGGAGAAAGAGCAGGAGGCGCAGGGGGAGCAGGACGGGGGAGGAAGAAGATGAGGAGAAGGAGGAGGAGGAGGAGGACGACGACGACGAAGGAGGTCTTACGTGAGAAAGAGGCAGTTTCCCGCGGCCGCGATGACAGGAGCAATGAGGAGTCGCGCGAGGAACCTTACAGGAACCATTGCATGGTTTCCACTGCGACCAGCCAGGAAACGGGAACTTTATTCATGGCGCAGCCGCAGAGCGTGACAGCCACGCGTGGAAACTCGATGGGGCCATAGTGTGGCAGAGAGTGCAGACTTATGAGCCAGCATGTCGTGCATGGGCCGATGGAACCCACTTACAATGTGCCTAACGTCCCACTTGGCGCGTCTTCGTTTCGTCGCACCATTATTTGGCGTTTCACGTTTCACTGCGCAGCGCTTGACCGTCGGCTTCCAACGTCTTTCTTGCATGCTGCATTCGATGCGAACGTGTTGTGGGTGCGGTGCGTATGATCAGCCATGGACTGCTCAGGGCCGCATGTACCTCGGGGTGCATGTGGTGAAGCAAATGCCAGCATGCGAGGCAGCCAAGAGTTGCTCGACGCGCCCGCTCGCGGCTCGGCGCCGCTCGCGCAAGTGCGCAGACCAGCGCGCGAACCAGGGATGTCTGCTCCGGCTACTGGCATGGGGCCCGAAGGTAGGCAGAAGCACCCGATGCCGCTCGATCGCAGCGGCCGTCGCCGCTGTGCGCGGCGCGCCCCGGCGCCTGGCTGCGCAGATCTGCGCCGTCCGTGCAGCCGAGCGCGCACTCGACCCGCACAGGCATTGGAGAGGAGGATGCCCGTGCAAGCAGCGCGAGCACGAGCAGGACGACGGCTTGGCACCACTCGGACGTGTGTGTGTGTGTGTGTGTGTATGTGTGTGTGTTTCTTGGCGAGGGCCATCGAGAAGCGTGTGCAAGAAGCGCGAGCACGAGCAGGACGACGGCCTGGCATCGCTCGGACGTGCGTGTTTGCTCTTCTTGGCGAGGGCCATCGAGAAGCATCCTGCATCGCCGTGCGCAAGCGCACGAGACCGAGACATGCACGGGGAAGGGGCATCCCAGCGACGGCGAGACGGAGTGCGGAGCTCGGGCGGCGGGGGCGGCGCCAGGCTGAACGCGTCCGAGCTCTCCCAGCAGGAGCTCGCCCTCGCCCGCCGCAGGACGCAGGCTCGCCCCCCCCCGGCCGCCGCCCGCGCCCGCCCGCCTCCCCCCCCCCCTCCGCGCCCCTCGGGGGGTGGGGGGGCGCCTTCCAGCCCACTTCCCCGTGCGCTTCTTGCCCCCCCCATCCCCCCCGCCCCCGAGGGGGCTCCGCCGCCCCCCTCCCCCCCTTCCCCTCCAATGCCTCCCCTTGGCGTGCAGCAGGCCTGGTCCCTCGATAGGCCCGAACGGCCCTCCGCGCCGATGGCCGCCCGCTCGCTCTGCGCGAGCCCTGCACGATTCCGGCACCACCAGCGAAGCCAAGTCGGGAGGTGGACGGCGTGCCTGCACGAGCATGGCGCCCCCCTCCCCCGTGCCCCTCGCGGAAAGGAGGAGGAGGAGGAGGAGGAGGAGGAGGAGGAGGAGGAGGAGGAGGAGGAGGAAGGCGGAGGAGGAGGAGGAGGAGGAGGAGGAGGAAGGCGGAGGAGGAGGAGGAGGAGGAGGAGGAGGAGGAGGAGGAGGAGGAGGAGGAGGATCTGCTGGCCGTCCGGGGGCGCCCTCCGGCCCACCTCCCCGGCGCCCTCCCCCCTCGGCCCTCGGAGGGTTCCGCCGCTCCCCGCCCCCCTCTCCCCGCTGCTGCTCGCCCGAGAGGCCCGAGGCCCCTCTCGCCGGCGCAGGCAGGCAGGGCGCCACGGCGTGCGCGCCTCGCCCCGCCGGGGCGCCACGCAGCGCAGGGGCCGGCTGCTCCCTTCTGGCGGTCCCCTCCGGCCTTGCCCCGCGACGCTCGGGGCTCCGCGGCCCCGAGGCATCAGCGAGCGAAGAGCGGTATAATTACAAGCTTTCTCGCTGTCGGGGGCGCCTGTCCCAGGGCGGCTGGAAAGTTTCTACCCCATACAGTGCCACCGTAAGGGTATAAACTTTCCAGCCGCCCTGGGACAGGCGCCCCCGACAGGGTATAAACTTTCCGAGGAGGAGGAGAGGAGGAGGAGGAGGAGGAGGAGGAGGAGGAGGAGGAGGAGGAGGCGAGGCGCCCCCGACAGCGAAAAACGTTGATGTTATACCGTTCTTCGCCCGTTAGAGGCAGCTCGGCCCGAGGTCCCCCGCGGGCCCGGCGCCCTCGGCCTCCGAGTCCGGCGGCCTCGCCGCGGCGCGCGTGGCTCACGGCCTCCTCTGGCGTTCTCCTCCTCCTCCTCCTCCTCCTCCTCCTCCTCCCCCTCCTCCTCCTCCTCCTAGCCGCCGTGAGGGATTCAGGAGGTGTGCTCGGCCGCAACAAGCACAACTACTGTACCTCTCGGCGCGCTTCCCCTTGCAGAGCCAGGTGGAGGGGAGGCGGGTTTCTGCATCACACACACTGTACACATTGTTCATGTATGCGTGTTATATCTTACAATCCTCTCTCGGCCAGCACAGTAGAGCGTCTCTGCGACATTAGCCTGGAACTGCAGAAGTGGGATGTTATTCTAGTCAGTGGTACATCGGAACTTACAACAGCTGAGCCAGTACGAACGGTGCAACTGCCCCACCACTGGTGTCTACGACTAGGGGGACGGAAGGGGAAATACGTGACAAAAGCGTGCGGCCTGGCCTTCCTGATCTATAACAAACATCCGAGGACTTGCCTGCGTGAAATATTTACCCCCCCCACACTACTGCAGGGAAGGGTAGCGGGTGTAAAGCTTGCGTTTACGACGTGCGATGTAGCCCTCTTCGCAGCGTACTATGCCCCTACACATGTGAAGCAGTATGCAGAAATAGGACGACGTATCAGCGAGTGGTTGGAACACACGACGGACAAACTAGGTGCACGCACACTCACAATCGTAGGCGGCGATATCAACACGGACTTCGGTATTCATCGAGCGAGTGACGGCACACTACAGCGTACCATCACAGGTTGTCTCGGCCCGTATGCGAAGACCGTCGAGAATGAGAATGGCACGTGCTTCCGACAGTTCTGCCAGACTGGCAACTTTGCGGTTGCCACCACGCTCTACGACGTCGGCCCAACCTACTTCGGTCCCAAGGGAGGTACAAGCAAAGTAGATCATTTTGCAGTGCCAATGGGTGCGTCACATCTGATAGAAAAATGTTTCGCCCTACACACTGCAGGGAAAAGGCTACAGCTGATACGTGCCAAATGATCTAGAGACCACGTCCCGATCGGTCTTGTGTTCTCGACTCGCCTCAAGCACGCACCACGGCGCCTCCCCAGGGACAAGGTACGACTGGACAGAGACATGCTCATGCAGTGCTTGCGTACAGGGTTTCGCAGACAAGACGTCTTGGACAGTATCGAGGAGGAGCTAAATAAGACACCTGATGCAGAATGGAGAGACCTCTTGGGCCGACCGACACCCGACAGGGCGTGGAAACAGTACGGAGATGCAGTACGGAATGCCACCCACAGGATCTTTGGACCACAACAGCGATGTGAAGACCCCTGTTACACGGCGCTCAAACAACAGCGAATGGAACTCCTGGAAAGGCGACGCAATACCAGACAGCTCCTCGGGCCCGACATATCCGACGAGACCTTGGAGACCGTGAAAGCGCAGCTCAAAGAAGTTACCAGTGTGCTGAAGCAACTTAGGGAGGGTTACGAAAAGCAGCGTAAACACAAACTGGTAGAGGATATCTGGGAGGCGTCGGAGAGGGGGGACTTTGCGGAGATGCACCGACTTAGGATCCAGTACCAGGCTAACGGCCGAGGCCCGAAGAAGCGATTTTTTTTCGCCCCGCGTACCCACTGGTCGGCTGAGACGTGGACATCGGAACTAGCAAAGCACCCACACGACGGAGGTCTCAGTGCGCAGGCGATCGGCGTAGAGCAGCAGTTGCAAGAGCGCGAAGAGAACTTCTCGGACCGCCTCCCCTTGCCTATCGACCGCGACCTTAGGCATCGAGCAGCAGAGTACCACGCATCTATGCTACGATACTGCAAACGAGCCCACAAGAGACGTGCATGGCCAGCTTGGGGTCTACCTGTGGAAGTTACCCTACTATTACTCGACCCACACATTAATCTCGGGGATCCTAGTGATAGTGGTGCACAACGCCGAGCGCAGCGCACAGGGGATAACGACGAGGAGGTAGCACGGCATGCAGTAGAGCATCGGCTTAGAAGGGGGAGGGAATTGCTGGAGAGGCTGGGATGGACAGGCGGTGGACTGGCCAAGAGAGGGGGAGTACCTACCGACCCTGCTTCCCTCATCAACAACTACACGGTTGGCAGGGGGACGAGAGCGGGGCTTGGGACTGTGCCATGCGGGACCACCCACCAGACAGCACTACGTCGACTCACAGATATCTTGGTTATGTGCCGTAGTACTCAGACCACACCGCTCAGCTGGCATCGATCCCATGCGTTCGGGGCTGACAAGGGGAATTCTAAACCAGGTATCCTTGGGAAGCGCATTATGCATGCGTATTGTAGTGTTGGGATGTCGTGGTTCTCGGGAATCCACCGGCGGGGTACACCGTACTTGCACCCACCGTGGGCTCAGGGGGGACTGCCCCACCGCTGCCGTGAGAATGCCATTACGACGTTACTTACTACAAAATGGAAAGCAGAGCAGATGGGCTACAGTACGATTATGACGAATTACGATTGCTCCAACGCCTTTGCTTCAACAGACAAGAGGCTCCTCGAAGCCGTAGCATTCCGACAGGCAGACGAATGGGACAAACCACACACGGTCGGTGCCATACATATGACGACGATGACAGTGGAGACGCCCAGCGAAGATGTTTCTCTCGAAACTTTATCTGGCGCCCAAATGGGCTTTACACTTGCGCCTCGACAGTTTAACGACGGGTACAACATCTACGTTAACCGCTGGAACGACAAGATGAGGGCCGACCCAATGCAAAAACTGCACGACACGCCCCACCCCATTACTGGTGCTGTCCACGATCTCGCCATTAATACTTTTATGGACGACATCACAAAAACCCACACCCTTCAAGAAGGAGCATCAGACACGCAGGTCATCGCGCACCTCAACGAGGCCACTACCCAACTCGAGGAGGCCCTGGCACCAGGTAAATGGAAGCTCAACGCATCCAAAACCAACCACCTCCTTTGCCTACGTGGCGCAGGTAGCTACGGCTGCACGCGCAAAGTTAGGAGGAGCAAGCACCTCAAGGGAGTAGCTCTCCGAGAAATGAGAGTGCTTGGGCCATATCTGCCATCGGACCAGGGCCTCACAGGCGAAATCACAAAAAGATGCCAAGCCATACGACTCGCATGGCGTCAAGGAGGCACGTTCTGGAGTTCCAAAACCAGTTTCGCTACCAAACGGATGATGTTCATTGCCTTTGTGTACGGAGCAGGTCTGAGCGGGCTCACATGTATGGTTCTCAGCAAAGCCCAGCCGGACACTATTGACGCACTGCTAGGCAAATACTTGCGTACGCTCGCACGCGGGCGTATGTCTTGGACGCGCGAGGACGGGACCGTGCGCTGTTACACTACGGCCAAAGTATTTCTGGAATGGAGGCTTGAACGCACAGCAGTGGCCCTACGCGCCAGAAGACTCAAATGGTACCAGCAGTGGGCGAAGTTCCCCGAAGCACACGGCAATGTGATTGCAGCTACGTTTGGAACCAGTGCTATGGAGCGGGCAGCAGGTGTCTCCAGACTATTACCCAGAGATTGGATAGGACCGTGCTCTACCCCAATGGCCATGCAATTCCGAAACGATCTCGATGCTCTTGCCGAGGCCGATGAGAACATGCGCAGTTGGTACGCACACCGTACTTCCGACCTAGCTATCCTAACGCCTGGTACAGCGGAGTGGCAGCAGTGGGCATGTGTAGATACGAGCATCTTGCGCAGTGCAGCACAGCGAGGGAGCGGAGATGAGGGAGAGAGAGCGCTTGAGGAAGAAGAGGAGGAGGAGGAGAAGCTGGCCCGTCCCTACTGGTGCGATCATGCATGTGTCGACGATCAGGGACACGAGACTATCTGTGGGAAACGGTTTGCTACTGCCCAGGCCCTCCAGGCTCACAAGAGGGGGGCCCACAACATCA